TGCAAAGTGGGCCAAAAGCAAAGAAGAGAGACGATCAGCTGATCAGTGATCAGTTTCAAAGTAGCAGCAGGAGAGAGAGAGAGAGAGAGAGAGAGAGAGAGAGGCAGTCTCTCCATATATCGGTGTTTAAGCTTAACGTGGGAATGCTTTACAAACATTCAGAGATGAACTTGCACACTTGCTTTACTTCTCTCTGGGAAAACTTCCTCAGAGATGAAATGCTGGTTTGAGGCTACAAACACACACAGCTACTCTATCACGTGACCACACTGCTCCCACGTGCTACGGCTATGAGCCGAGTTACCCGTGTGGGACGTTTTGTGAGGTGCTTTTTTGATATTTAATGGATCGGATTACATTTTTTATTTCGCTCCGATATCCGATCCAGTGATTTAGGTCAGTATCAGACCGACACGATACCTAATATCGGATCCGTCCATCTCTACTTTTAACTATTTCAATTTTCAGCTTTTTCGTTTGAAACGAATTTAAAGTGAAACAACACACTGCAAACAACAACACAACTAAATATAAATTAAAACTGTGGGGAAATGGCAGATCACAGACACATATTCTGGTCCTGCCCATCCATACGACCCTTTTGGTTGGAAGTTTCAAAAATAATACCAAAAGCACTGGGATTTAATGTGAGCTGTACATTTGTATCATTGTATCTGAGATGTTTTGCAGAAGATTTAGTTACAGATGAGAATTTTTTTGGCATCTGCGAGAAAGGCTATAACAACGCGCTGGCTTTGTAAAGATCCTCCCACTATAAGTCTTTTTATTTCTATAGTGGAAAACATCAGATTGATGGAATGTATGACTTTTACCCTGTGAATTCAGGGGGGCTTGGGAAGGAGACGGAGAAAATGGCTGGGCTCTACAAACTGTGGCAGCATTCTTTAATGCATAGAACTTACAATACTATAGTATTTATGTATGTATGTGCATGTATTTGTCTTCCAATGACCTCATAATATTTTGTTTGTCTGGGTTTTTTCTTTCCTTTTGCTGTATAAAAATTTTTCTAAATGTTTCTAAATGTTGCAGTTTTCCAGAATTTCTGAGCGTAGCAAAAAGTCCATCTCATGGCCTCTCCAATGTCCATCAAGTCCCCAAGTTTTGCTTCACCAACCACTGAAGTAACCCACCTCCTAACCCCCCTAGTAACAGTCTATCTACCAGACCACATCACTTCATACCTTGGTGTCAGCAGTAAGAGAGAAGGGATGATGATACTGGAACAAGTCCATCCCCAAGTTTCTAACATGGTTGTTTTGGGTTGTTTTTGGCCCTGTTCTTCATGTTGCAGCTGAAATACGATTCAAAGATAGGATTTGAAGACAGAGGCCTCAACCAATATGTTCTCCCTACAATCGCATAAAGTTGGTGTTGTGTGTCAGTGTGTGGCTGGCAGTGTGGACCTAAACATGAAGATTGACTTTTCCACAGGGGCAAGATTAGGACAGAAGACACAGGGACATGACTGGAGGGACAGGCAGGGATACAAAATAAGCAAAACTTAGACCAGAACTAGACAAGAAACAACATTTTAAACTATGAGTAAATAAAGAAAAAAAGAAAAACATAGCAAGTAACCAAAACATCAAAGCACTAGGACCAAAACAGAGAGATCCTAACAGCCGGGTTTATGAGGGATTTGTGAAACGTCTGATCCAGCTCAGCAAATATTCAAGATTCAAATATGTGTGTGGATAATCTGTCAAGCTGGGTGGGCTGACAGAGAGGCCACAATGGGAAAACTGCTATGAGTTTAAATGTGGGGCCCATAGCAGTTTGGGCCTTTTTGGCCCCGGAGGGAAATTCTTTGGGCACCCTCAAAGGAGTTTGGCCCACTGTTGATGTAGTACTTGTACCTTTATAGTTTTATTACTTTTTAAGCTTTTTCTCTTGCCTTTCCTGTCTTTGTTCCTGCAGACTCTGTCAGGCTGCTGAACGGTTCCAGTCTGTGTTCAGGTGGACTGCAGGTGAAGTCTAGCCAGAGATGGTCCTCAGTGTGTGAAGATGACTTTGACCTGCAGGATGCAGAGGTGGTCTGCAGGGAGCTTGGCTGTGGGCCTCCTTCGCTCCTCCAGGGGGCGCTCTATGGGGAAGCGGAGGCTCCAGTGTGGAGCAGAGAGTTCCAGTGTGGAGGCCATGAGTCTGCTCTCCTGGACTGTCGAAGCTCAGGCTCAGCTAGAAGCAGCTGCTCACCTGGCAAAGCTGCTGGACTCACCTGCTCAGGTAGAAGAGGAGCTGCAGCTTGGGCTCAAACTCACTTTGTTCTCTCACTGATGACTCTCTGCTTTCTGTCAGAGCCTGTCAGGTTGGTGGGAGGAGCCAGTCGCTGTGCAGGTACACTGGAGGTGAAACAGAGACTGTGGAGATCTGTGGAGGCCTCAGGCTGGACCCTGACGGATGCAGCTGTAGCCTGCAGAGAGCTGGACTGTGGCTCTGCTGTTTTAACAGGAAGCAGAAATGCATCCTGGGATGGACCAACGTGGAAGATCAAACCTGACTGTGTTAAATCTGGCTCTACACTGAGGGAGTGTGCCACATCATCCCAGTCATCCACCGTCCTGGAGCTCATCTGCTCAGGTAAGAGACTTGCTGTGAGCCAACGGAGTTTAACATGGAACGAGTCGAATAAAGTTCAGCCAATCACTTCTCTGTTTACAGACCTGCTGGTTCAGCCAATCATCTCAGCATCCTTCTCGTCCAATGACGGGCACTCCCAGGTCCAGCAGCAGGAGTCTTCTTGGGTGTTCAAAGGCTCCAGCTTCACCACCAGCTGCTCCATCCAGCCTCAGTACCCAGGAGGCTCTTTCCAGCTCACCTTCACCTCCTCCAATACCACCAACAACTACACCCTGCCAGCTGTCAATCACTCTGCCCACTTCCTGTTCACTGCTGCAGAGCCCGCCCACCAAGGAACCTACAGCTGTGTTTATCACGTCTTTGTGTTTTCTCATAACTTCTCCTCCGAGAGCCGTCAGCTGTCTCTCACTGTCTCAGGTGAGCTGAAGCAGAGTGGAGCTCAGGTATGAAACAGCAGCAGGTCCCACCTGACGTAGGCTCAGATGGAGTCAGAGATGTAGGCGGGGCCTACCTGATGTTTGTGTTTGATGCCAGCTGTTGTTCTCCTAACATCTAATGTGACGGCTGAATGTGTCTCTTCAGATCCAACAGTGTTTGTCATCAGACTGCTGCTCCTGCTGCTCTTCATCTCTGCCGTCTGTTTCAGCCATAAGGTACCGTGCACACGTCTGCTGATCAGAGGACGCTCTGGAACGAAGCTCTCGGCCCGTTTGAAGAGAGCAGCGACTCGCTGACTCACACCTGTGTGCTGCTGTGTCTCTGCAGGTCAGCGGGAGGCAGGAGCCCCGCCCACAGGAGGACCCGGAGCTGGATGGTTAAAGCTGGCAGTGTCCAGAAAAGCAGGCAGCTCAGCAGCGCCTCCACATGGTGGAGGAAGTGTTTGCATCCTTCACCACCGTGTGAACATGAACTGCAACCACAGTATCACTTATACTTTTGCTTATGCTGTGTCATGACTGTCATGATGGTTATGATTATTAGTTTTGTATTCATATTATATTGTTAAGAACAAAAAGTTTAACGTTTGATGGTATCTGGCACGTGTGAGCTGGTGTTGGGGCTGGACAGGTGAACTAACCCTTTTAAGCTGGAGCTCACCACAGGACACTGTGCTCATTAAGTTCATTCTCAGCATGACAGCAAAGACGTTCCCCTGGAGCTGTCCGATCCATCCACCAAACATCCACCACTTTCTGCTCGCTACTTCAGCATGCATGTTTGATCACAGTGCTTTGTCTGTAGGTTACATATTAATGTCATTTTTACTTGTCCATACAAGAGCCAGGAGTCATAAAGATGGTGTCCTCCATCAGCATCTCACAGCACGTTGTGCAAAGCTTTTGCAGCATCAGCCTCAATAAAACATTTCCAGCTGGAAGGTTTCCTGAGAGATACTCTGCAGTAACCATCTCCTCATGAGCTCGGTGTGAGGTGACCCTTCTCCAGGTACTCCCTGGTGTTCTGGTTACGCTCTGTGTTGTCTTCGTATTGCTTTGAATAATTACACAGTATCCACTTGTGTTTTGCGAGTGTCTGCTCCAAACATTTTTATTCCCTCATTTACAAATCAGTCTTCTTTTATAGAGGCATTCATGAGCCCTCTCAAATACAGCGCCCCCTACTCGCAAAACCCCATTAGCACATGAACACCCACACATCACCACACGCTCATCAGCAAAAAGCTGAATAAATCCATCTTTGCACACGGGCCTGGTCGTACAGTTGGAGCATACAGTTTGCTCGGTGATCATTACTAGACAACTCCTCACAGTCAGATCCAAACAGTGTGGGATCATCCCGCCAGAACAAAAGGCAGAAACAGCCAAAGGTTGGAGAAGTATCCAAGTATAATGTTAACTCTGCTTTAACCTTGCAAATATGCAAGTGAAACGTATGAGACAGTAAGTTGATGGATGTGGGCGTTACTCTGATCAGCTGTTTGGGCTGAGTTTCAACGTTTACTTCCTGCAGGTGTGCACAAGCTGCACCCGCTGTGCTTTAAACCTACTGAAGCAGAGTAAGGATAAACCAGCACAAACAAACTGTGCGTCATCACCATCGTGTCTGTTAGCTAATCATCCACCTGCTGTAATCTGGTTTTTAGTTTGTTTTCTCCGTAGTTCAGTTTCAGTTGGTCTCCAGGTTAGCTTTACCGTTTATTTTAGTATTCCTCCATCTAAGATGTGGGTTTAGCTCGGACATGAAACCAACGCTTCACTGGGAGCTGCAGAGCTCAGAGAGGGAACTGCTGACGCAGCTGTGATGAGCTTCTCTTCTCAAACAAATACGTCTGATACAAACAGTGTATATTAAGAAAATCTTTATTAGAAGCGTCCAGTATGAAACCACAGATTAAAAACAAATTAACCTGAAGACAAAATGAGAACATTACAGCAGCTGGATTTCACAGGTTCAAACGTTTCAGTCGGTCAGTGCATAAAAAGCTCAAACTCCCTTTTAAACGATTCTGCTCGAGCGGGAACGTCGCCTGCTTTTCCAGGAGACAGTAAACGCGTCGCTGTGGATCGGCGCCGTTTCCAGGACCGTTCATGTGCTGCATCAACATGGCAGCTCGTCCACGGGTCGCCCTGTGAGAACGCCTGAGCTCAGAGTACAGACGCTCGAGGGACCAATAAAAGACAAAACAGGAAAGCCAACAGGACGTCAAACAAAAACACTGAGAGAAATATTAACTATTGACAGAAATGACACACTGTTGTTTTTCCACAGGAAACACTCTGATCACTTCCAGATGGAAATGTCTGTGGCGAGTGGCGAGGGCAGGAGGCGAGTCTGAACCAGAGCTACGATGTCCTCTGCGCTGCCTCCACCCCGCTCGCGACTCGAATAGTTCGACTGTATGAGCGCGCTCAGACGTCGCTGGGCGTCCCGTGTACCCTGAAGCGGTACATGCAGGTGTACTCCTCGTGGCCCCAGTTAGATAAAACCTGGACCTCGATGATCTGAAAGGCTTCGCCGTTCTCCTCCTGACGGGACAAAACAGACGGGAAAAGGCAGCGACATCGCATGTTTGAGAAGTTCAGGCAACAAACTCGTTTTCTGCCTCGAAGGAGAAAAAACTTTAAATTTGGATCAATAACTCTGCTCATCTCAGCAGCCGCTCTGCAAAACTAACCCCCAACCTGCCTGTGATCATTTGTTTGTGTTTTTTTCCCATTGATGGGGCGAGTGTCCAGATTTAGATCTGTGAGGTCATATTTTGCAGTCATGTGACCATGAGTCACGTGACAGCCTCGCCAACTCATTCGTGCAGTTTTAAAAACAAGAACAAATTTAAAGAGACAAAGTGAAGCAGCTGGTATCTGACAGGCTTCTGTCGCCCTCTGAGGCCGAGTGTTAACGACTGTGACAGACTGGCTCGCCAACATTAAGGAAGGCTAAAACCACAAGCCCTGCCCCACAACTCACTGAAACAGCAAATGTCTGGAGAGCGTCTCCATCCTGGTCGTAGGTGTAGGTGCCGAGCAGCTTGCCTCGCTCCCGGCTCTCGTTAGCCAGACCCTGAAAGAGCGTTCAGGTTACACAGAGACTACAGAGCAGCGGGTTTATGAACGCACGCCATCGCTCTCTTACGTAGACAGCGAAGTCTCGGGGGGCGCTGTGCAGCGTCCCGCTCGGGGCCAGGGCTTTGGGGATGTGCTCGAGGGTGAAGGCCGAGGGCAGGACCCTCATGGAGAGCCGGATCACCAGGAAGCCCGTGGAGCCTCTGAAGGCCCAGCAGTTCCCCGGGTGGACGTCGGGCTGCAGCAGAGAGCACAGATCAGGTGATTTCTGATTCATCAGTCTGAGCAAAAACATCTGGAGGAGCGCTGAGGAGGACAAAGTCCTATCACAGAGTCAAAGGCGAGAAAGAGGAGGGGCTTCATATCATAACCACATGACTGTACGGGTGAGTTACCTGGATCACAGCTCGGGGAGACTGAGAGAAATACCAGAGCGGGACTCCGAACAGGCTGAGCAGCGCCGCCTTCGTCTCGTACGTCTCCGAGCAGCGAGTGCTCAGGATGCTGCCCCCTGCGGGACGAGCACAGAAGCCACACTGGGTAAACCATTACAGCAGGTTCATGACATCACAGACGTCGCTGTTGGATTCTGACCTCCAGACTCCAGAGCGTAGTCCGCCAGGCCGGTTCGATCCTCAGAAAACAGCCGCAGAGCGTCCTTCACCGCCGCACGGACGTCCTGAGGACACGAGAGAGGCGTGAGTGGCGATTATTACAGCGTGAATAAGGTCATTACTCAGAAGGTTAGACAGGTTTATCAAACTCATCCTCAGGTGGTAAATTTAGGCCGGCCTCTGACCACGCCTCCTCACCTCCTGGGTGACCGTGGCCCCGACGCCCTCAGCAGCATGCAGGACAGGCTCTCTGACCGTCTCCTCGCCGCGCCGCTGCTCCAGCTGCAGGCTGACGTTCTGTAGGATGCTGAGCTCCAGAGAGGCCAGCGCCGCCTGCAGGTCCGCCTCGCTCACATAGCGCTCAGAGAGCCACCGGAGGAGCGACTCTGGGAGGGCGGCGGCGTCTCCGCCCGCTGTTAGCTGGTTGCTGAAGAGCAGCGCCCGAACTTCCTCTCGCACCTGAGCAGAGACCTGCCCCAAAATCTACAGAAAAAGGACAGTCAGAACAGGAAACTGGTCCTTCACATTAAAAGCAACCATTCAGTGAGGCTTTTATTGTGAAGGAGACCGTTAAAATGAGTGTCTCACCACCTGCTGGATTGTGGCGAGCTGTTGGCAGCTGTCCTGACATCTGGACAGAAGCTCGACGTCCCGCCTGACGTCCCCCAGAGCCGCCTCCAACCGAACCACCTCCGCTAGCAAGGCATCATGGGACTGCCGGTCAACACTGGAGGAGGAAAAAGACACGTCAGCCACGAAGGAGTCGCACCAGCATCAGCAGCTGCTTCTCTTTGGTCCAAATAAACCTACTGAAGAAGGTGATGATGACGAAGGTTACCTGACAGCAGCAGGAAGTGTGGTCGGCGAGGGCGAGAGGAGAGATCCAGCAGCTTCACGTCTCCACTGAACCTCCTGCAGTTTTAGTGAAGCAGTTTTATTTCTGAAGCTTTTACAGGTGAAACGCCAGGCTCGTCTCAGGTCATGTGACTCACCTTCGTTTTGGCCACCAGTTTCTGCAGCTGCAGCTCGAGCTGATCCAGACGAGACGTCTGCGTCTGCTGCTGCAACAAATCCTGCCGGCGAACCTGCAAACACGAGACAGAGGTTTCAGTAACGTGCAGTTCCTCCGGCGTCCAGCGGGGGCCCCGGTGAGTCCGTGTTAAACGTTCACAGCATGTTACAGAAACTGTTCTGGTCTCTGGATAATGGCCTCCATCACATCTGCATTTTATAACCGTTTAAATTGTAGTAAGGGTTATAGTTTGTATCATTAGGGGCGTGGCCTATTTGACTGACAGGTGGATGGTGCTACTGCTGTGTGCTAGCTTCAGCTCAGCTAACTGCAGTGACGGTGCTGCAGACCCTCACCTCCTCCCTCTGCCACCTCTCCTCGTCCAGCTGTTTCCTGAGCTCGGACAGCTGCTGGTCCAGCAGAGCGCTCAGCGACGCCTCCACGCCGTCGCGCTGAGCAGACGAGAGCTGCTGCAGGCCGGTGTAGAGCCGGAGCAGCTCTCTGTGTCTCTGCTCCGCCCGCCGTCCTCCGGCCTCCACGCGCTCCCACAGCACCATCAGACTCTGCTCCAGACGAATGAGCCGCTCAGCATCTTCTGCCGCCGCCCCCACTTCCTGTAACAACCACATTCGTAAACTTCCAGGATGCATGTTAGTTCATCCTAACCTGTCGCCGGCCTCAGGCACGTGTTTTGTTGCAGTTTTTTTTCCCCCCCATAAACATGCGTCACTCCAGGGCCGCCACAAACGATTATTCTGATAGTCGACTAATCAGATCATCATCCACTGGACGTAAAACTACAGCTTATTGCACCAGCAGCATCTGCTCTCATATAACTATCATTAGCTGACAGCTTTAAGTGTTTATTTTTAGTTAGCACATAACTTAAAGACAAGATGATAGTTTATTACATTTTAATGCAACGTGCAGATTGTTTCGGTGAAGTTTAATAAACTAACCGAGTAAATTCTCCAGCATCTCACACTTCTGATAATCAGCTGTCTGCTTGACGTTTATTCAGCTGTGTAAAAACTATAACTTTAATCTCAGCCAAACCGATTTACTCAGGAACAAATAAAATACTAAAAAAGCCAAACAACAACATTTTAAGTTATCTAAGTGACCTATATAGGTTTAACCTGAGCAGCGAAAGAGGCGGTGGGTTTGAAAACGATTTGCCGGGAGTCCGGTGTTCTCACGGCTCTAGTGACCTAGCCCCCGGCTAGCTATCGAGCTAGCGGGTAACAGACGTCTCCGAAAACGTCGGAGCGCTTTTG